GGAGGGATTTGGGAAGCCCTGGAGGGGCCTGTGAGGCTCTGGAGGGATTTGGGATGCTCGGGAAGGCCCTTGTCCATCAGGAAGGGTCCCAAGGGCTGCTGCATGTCCCACTGCCACTGGTGACAGCTGGTGACACCCGGTGACAGCTGGTGATGGCTGGTGACTGCCGGTGCCACCGGTGACAGCTGCTGCTGCCGGTGACAGTCAGTGACACCCAGTGACTGTCGGTGCTAGGGGTGCTGCCGGTGACACCCGGTGACAGCTTGTACCACCAGTGACAGCCGGTGACACCCGGTGACTGCTGGTGACACCCAGTGACAGCCGGTGCTGTGGGTGCTGTCAGTGACACCCGGTGACCGCTGGTGACAGTCGGTGACACCCAGTGACTGCCGGTGCTGTCAGTGACACCCGGTGACAGCCGGTGACAACTGGTGCTGCCGGTGACAGCCGGTGCTCGTGGGTGCTGTGGGTGCTGCTGGTGACACTTGGTGACACCCGGTGCTGTGGGTGCTGTGGGTGCTGCCGGTGACACTTGGTGACACCCGGTGCTGTGGGTGCTGTCAGTGCCAGCCGGTGCCAGCCCGTGCCACCCGGTGCCCCCGTGTCCCCGCAGGCACACGGCCCCGTGCGGGCTCCGGCTGCGGCAGCAGCGGCCGGGCCCCGCGGGCGCGGAGCCCCGAGCGCCGCCCAGCCGCGGCTTCCTCAGCCTCGGCAACAAGCGCAAGGAGTACTCGGAGCGGCGCATCATCGGGTGGGTGACACGGCCTGGGGCCGGGCTAAACCTGGGCCTGGGGCTGGGCCTGGGGCTGAGCCCAGCTCCAAACCCAGCCCTGATCTGGAGAGAGCCTGAGCTGGTCAGGAAGGGACCTGGATTGGTTTGGGGGGGATTGGGATGGTCTGGAAGGGACTTGGGGTGGTTGGAAGGGACCTGGGCAAGTCTGGAGAGAGCCTGAGCTGGTCAGGAAGGGACCTGGGATGGCCTGAAGGGGTTTGGGATGGTCTGGAGGAGCTTGGAATGGTTTGGAAGGGACCTGGGATGGTGTGGAAGGGGCTTGGGCGCGTCTGGAAAGAGCCTGAGCTGCTCAGGAAGGGACCTGGGATGGTCTGAAGGGGTTTGGGAAGGTCAGGAAGGGACCTGGGCCGGTCCAGAAAGGACCAGGGAAGGACTGGAAGGGATCTGAGCTGATCAGGAAGGGACCCAGGCCAGGTGGGAATGGGTCTGGAGGGACCTGGGAAGCCCTGGAGGCATTTGGGAAGCCCTGGAGGGATTTGGGAAGCCCTTGAGGGATTTGGGAAGCCCTGGAGGGGTTTGGGAAGCCCTGGAGGGGCCTGTGAGGCTCTGGAGGGATTTGGGATGCTCGGGAAGGCCCTTGTCCATCAGGAAGGGTCCCAAGGGCTGCTGCATGTCCCACTGCCACTGGTGACAGCTGGTGACACCCGGTGACAGCTGGTGATGGCTGGTGACTGCCGGTGCCACCGGTGACAGCTGCTGCTGCCGGTGACAGTCAGTGACACCCAGTGACTGTCGGTGCTAGGGGTGCTGCCGGTGACACCCGGTGACAGCTTGTACCACCAGTGACAGCCGGTGACACCCGGTGACTGCTGGTGACACCCAGTGACAGCCGGTGCTGTGGGTGCTGTCAGTGACACCCGGTGACCGCTGGTGACAGTCGGTGACACCCAGTGACTGCCGGTGCTGTCAGTGACACCCGGTGACAGCCGCTACCACCGGTGACACCCGGTGACTGCTGGTGACAGTCAGTGACACCAGGTGACTGCTGGTGACACCCAGTGACAGCCGGTGCTGTGGGTGCTGTCAGTGACACCCGGTGACCGCTGGTGACAGACGGTGACACCCAGTGACTGCCGGTGCTGTCAGTGACACCCGGTGACAGCCGGTGACAACTGGTGCTGCCGGTGACAGCCGGTGCTCGTGGGTGCTGTGGGTGCTGCTGGTGACACTTGGTGACACCCGGTGCTGTGGGTGCTGTGGGTGCTGCCGGTGACACTTGGTGACACCCGGTGCTGTGGGTGCTGTCAGTGCCAGCCGGTGCCAGCCCGTGCCACCCGGTGCCCCCGTGTCCCCGCAGGCACACGGCCCCGTGCGGGCTCCGGCTGCGGCAGCAGCGGCCGGGCCCCGCGGGCGCGGAGCCCCGAGCGCCGCCCAGCCGCGGCTTCCTCAGCCTCGGCAACAAGCGCAAGGAGTACTCGGAGCGGCGCATCATCGGGTGGGTGACACGGCCTGGGGCCGGGCTAAACCTGGGCCTGGGGCTGGGCCTGGGGCTGAGCCCAGCTCCAAACCCAGCCCTGANCCTGCCCTCCTCCTCCTCCTCCTCCTCCTCCGCCTCCTCCTCCTCCTCCTCCTCAGATCTCCTTCGAGTTCCGCTCCCTGCTGCACTCCCAGCTGGCCACCGTGTTCTTTGACGAGGTGGTCAAGCAGATGGTGGCCGCCTTCGAGCGCCGCGCGGCCAAGAACTTCGGGCCCGAGACCCGCATCCCCCGGGAGCTGATGTTCCACGAGGTCCACCAGACGTGAGGGAGGCCGGGCCGGGCACCCCCGGACTGTGCCGGGCCCGCCCCGAGCCCACCCCCCCAAAAAATATTTATTCAAGAAGTGCGTTTCCGCTGCTGTTGCCTCAACGCCCCCGGGGCTGCCGTGAGCCCCCGGCCCCAGGAGCTGCTTTTGCAGCTGATTTGGGGTTTTAAGTTTTGGTTTAGTTCTTGATTTTTTTTTTTTTGTTGGGTTTCTTGTTTTATTTTTAACCCTTTGTTTTTTTTTTCCGTTCTTTTTAAACTCCTCGGCCAGGCTGGAGGGCCCCGGTGGGGGCAGCTCCGGTGCCTGGGCCCCGCCGTGCTCCGGGAGGAACGGGGAGGGGGGGGTTTGTTGGGGG